ATCTGACCTTCTTACTTGATATAAACTGCATACCTTATTTGTGCATGTTTATACATATTTATGGTTCCATATTAAATATTTTGTAAATTTCTTGGTATCAATTTCCAACAGACACTGAAACTTAGTCTGTGCTAAAATGACAACAGTGTCCTATTTTCTAGGTTTTAACTTTGGGATTTAATCACAGTATACACTATATGGCCAAAAGTATGTGGACACCTGACCATCAAACCTTTGTGCTTTTTGAACATTCCATTCCAAATTTAGTCCCTCCCCCCTTTGCTGTTATAATAACTTCCACTCTTTTTGGAAAGGCTTTTTCACAAGATTTTGGAACGTGCCTGTGGATTTTTGCCTTTTCAGCCACGTGAGCATTAGTGAACTCAGGCACTCATGTTGGGCGAGGAGGCCTGGGGCACAGTCGGCATTCCAGTTTATCCTAAAGGTCTGTAATGTCTCGAGTTTTTCCACATCAGCCCTCGCAAACCATTTCTTTTATGGCCCTCGGTTTGTGCACAGTGGCATTGCCATGGCCATGTTTGGGCCTCTTAATTCCTTTGAGCACTTTAAACTTTGTGGCAACAGTTTGGGGAAGACCCACATATGGGTGTGATGGCCACGTGTTCACAAACCTTTGGCCAAATAGTGTATAACATGATATATTAATATAATACTAGTCTAATTCGTTAAAGTTCAAGTGCAGTTTTAAAGGACGTTGACAGCCATTTTGCTGTCCGTTAATGTTAGGTTTATTACTGCTTTATAAATATATAATCAGATTGCTTTGGCTGTATCGTTACAACACAATCATGCCAGTAATATTCTGAGCTTGCCGTCCGGTATCCACACTGCTCTCTTTTTTATAATGTACGGGAGAACTTCAGTGCCCTTAGGCAAGCTAGAGTCTCTAGTGACTCCACACTCCTCACTTAGATTTAGTGCTCAGGTACAAGAGCCTTACAAAGGATTTTACAGTATTTTAATGCAGAGCGACATGCAGCTTTCGCAGCTAACTCTTCTCACCTTGAGTTAGACCTGCATACTGCGAGGGAAGGTGAAACACGCACACGCCTGAAATAGCAACACCTCTCCCCTTTGTTTCTTTTGTCTCTTCTTGAGCATTGCTTTTTCCTCCTTCAGCCTGTCACACACAGCTGGCTTAATTGGGTGTGTATGGCAGTCCAGCTAATTCCATATCCTCCTCTTTGGAGCCTTTGCACACTTTAATTGAATTTCCTTGGCAGGCGCCCTGCTTATCTGCGCTCTAGTGTTTGGTGTGGGTGTGGAAATCGCTTCATTTCTATGCTGACCGCTGCAGTACAATATTCTTAACTGTCAAAATGGATTAATCTGGATAGTGAAGGTGAAGCTACTTCCAGGAAAAAAAAAAAGCCTGTGATAGAACTCGCTTTATTCAGAGGCGTCGGTTTTCCGAATGGAGATTTACATCTGGTGTCGTAGACTTTTTCCCTCTGCCAGATGTTGTCACGCTCTGTGCCTCTGCTCCATGTCTCATCTTTTTAATGATTCCACTAATAGAAGACTTGCACCACTTATATAACCATTGAAAATGGTAAAGAGAAGATATGCGATGAAAAGCAGCCTTTCTGCAGATAGAGAAGTATTTGTCTATTGTCCATGTCACTGTCACTCTGAAGCACTCTTTTGCATTTTCTCTTCCTTTATGATATTCTTTTTCCCTATGTTCCTCATCCTAGTTTGGTCTCTTTACTTTTTCATTTTTTTTCTTTACCAGTGTTATTTCAGTCTGTCTCTTGGGCTCACTTTCTCACTCACCCTGTTTCATGCAGTTCCTGACCTTTGACTCTTCATTTAAATTGGAGCAGAAATAAAGATTTGCTCACTATGGAAAGCAGGAGACTCTAATGAATAAAACTGAAGAGCAATTTTACCTCTACCCTGCTCTCTCTCTCTCTCTCTCTCGCTATTCTTCCCTCACTCAGTTTGTGGATAATCATACAATCCTTTTTTGCTTATAGATAGCCTTGGTATTAGAATTCAGTTAAATAAAAATAATATAATATAATGAATGACTTGGGGTGGTATTCAGACTTAAGTTCAAAAGTTACATCAATATTTATGCCAGTTCTCCATATTCACAGTGGCGCTTATGTCAAATTTCAGACTGTTCAGATTATTAAAATTAGTAGTAGCATGTAGTATAAACTTAATTTGCCTGATTTTCTTGTAGTCTGAGATGGTTTCAGAAAATAACACGTACAACACCAACTTTAACACAAGCACCTACTTTTAATCCTCAAAAAAAAAAAAAGAAATCAGGGGATAGAAATTGCAGACTAAAGAAAGCGATTGCTAATACGCGTCATGTAGTACTAGTGGAGTATATGGCGAATATTTTGGTTCATGATTAGTCCTTATTGTAATTATCACATTAATTGAATTCAAATTTGGTTTCTTTTAACAGTCCTCAAGATAATTCATTTCTCCAGCTACAACACTTCCTCTTCTTGGGAAAAACTCATGAACTCTAAAGGGACGAAGTGATTAATTAATGTATGTATTATGTATTTGATCTTGCCCTTGAATGGCATTCAGTTGTTTTGTGATGTATTTACAATGCTCAAAACATACATTTCAAGGTTAAATATTGTGGTTACAGCTATCAGTGGTGCTGGACTTAATACTGCTCCTCTCTTGAGCCGCTATCGCACAAGAAAAATTGAATTAAATTCAAGTTCAGAATCACACACGGCTGTTTTTGGCAAACTCTCTGAAAATATAATGGCACAGAAGTCCCTAAATGTTTTTTTTCCCACTCAGTTCATTCAGCACAATATTGAAATTCTGTGTTAAAGTAGCTTTCGTAGTAAAGGGTTTGATACTTGTTTGATGACTCACTATCTCTCAGTTTACAGTGTTGAGGCTAAGCAGCCTGGAGCTCCTAATTTCTTTTGTCCTCCCTCTAGTACAAAGGGGAGTAAATTACTGCCAGTCTTTCTCAGGAATGTGGGGTGCTTTAGTTTTCCCTATTTTGCAGCTCCTAATCTTTCCTTCTTTTCACTGTTTCTGCATTTGTTCTCTGACATCTGTCTTTATATATTCTTTTTTCTTTACTTTTCTTTCTGTCCATTTATTTGTCTCTCTGTCTTTCTTTTTCTTTTTTCTTCTGTCTTTCTTCTCTTCATTTCCTGGTTCTATTTTCTGTCTTTTCAAACTTTTTTCCCCCCTATTTCTGATTGTCTGTCTTTCCTGGCTTCCTGTACTTTCTTGCTCCTTTGTTTCTTTGTTTGTTTCTTTCTCATTACCTGACTTCCTTTTTTTTCTCCTAGGTCCTCTGTCAGTGTGATAGCCTCTGATCCATTTTTTTTTATCAGATGTACAGTTGTGATCAAAGATTCATGAATGCACAAATCCAGTAATGCCATAGGAGCTTTTTTCTTAACACTTTGTTTGCTGCTAACCTGCATGATGACACTGCTGCTGCTTGGTGTGTGTGTGTGTGTGTGTGTGTGTGTGTGTGTGTGTGTGTGTGTGTGTTATGATCACTGTGTGCGCCTCTCTATTTGTTTTGTGAACTCTCAGCAGTGTAAAGGATCAGTAAGGCATCAAATACCTGTGGTCTTTTTCTGCCTTTATGCTTCTTTTATATATATATTTTCTTTCTTTTTAAATTTAGTGTATCTTAATATAAAGTCTTTCTTCGACTCATCTCTTTCTTCTTCCCTTTACTGTTTTTTTTTCTCTCTCTCACTCCCTCTCTCACCGGGACCAGCAGCAGCATTAAAAGTCTTGACTTTTGTGCAGCTAATGATGTGAATAGAGAGCAAAGAGTCAGAAGAGAGGCCAGACCTGCAGGAGCTTACACACTAACAAGTGTAAGATGCCAATTAAAGCTTGCTAGCTACAGCAAGGATACTATCCAAAGACAAAGTGGGCCTTCAAACTAAGATTTTAATCAGCTTTGATACATGGACGTGGGGATGAGGGGCTTTGAACCAGTTGCTAACTGTTTATGGAGAGAGAGAGCAATGGTTAGGTGATAGTGTGTTAACTGAATGTCTCAGCCAGCATGATTATACACTTCTACAGTAAAGTTGTACGAGGTATCAAAAGTTGCCATGATACCTTTTCAGCACTGCGTTCATTCAGTGCTGCATTTCAGTAGGACTAATCTGATGTGGTATTTTGCCTGTAGGTATAATCAGTGCTAGTTTGACTCGGATGAGCGAGACTCGTACAGTGGCTCAAGCATCAAGTGCACAGATAAAGAAAACATGTTCTATTTCCAACCTCTTGGGAGGGTGAGAATTACCTGGATACCTTTTGGTATGTGTACACACACATGCAGAGAACGTCCAACAATGTAACAAAGTGACCTATGATGCAGTATTTGCAATAAATACTTCTGCCGTCTTACCCTGTTCAGAAGGGTCTTTTTGAAAGGGGCGAGATACCATCATCTGCCATAATTCCCCAAGAGCCTGGTGTGGGATCGCCGCCTTGTCCCGGAGTTCCTTAAAGCTGTTTCTTGCAAGCCTATCCAAGGTGCAACACTGAAATGAGTGTTTCTAAGAACTGCCTTTTTGTTAGCAATAATCTAAGCAAAAAGATTGGTAGAACTGCATACATTGTTTGGCAGAGGACTCTGGAGTGACCTAGTGGTTAAACCTGGGTTTAAGAAGTCCTTGCTACTGGTACCTGGGTGTCACTGTGTGCCTTGCTCAGATTCTGCAAGGTAAAAATCGCCCCTCTCAGTGGCCTCAGTCTTGAAGTGGGTCGGCTCCTCATGACATTGTGGCAGAAGTTATCCAGGTGATTCTCACAGATTCTTTGTTTTCTTACTAATGAAGATGGGCAGTACTCTCTTTTGGTTGCTCCCGTTCGGGGTCGCCACAGCGGATCATTGGTCCGCATATTTGATTTGGCACAGTTTTTAACGCCGGATGACCTTCCTGACGCAACCCTCCCCAGTTTTATCCGGGCTTGGGACCGGCACTGAGAGCGCGCTGTTGCACGCTCTCCCTGGCCGGGAATCGAGCCTGGGCCGCAGCGGTGAGAGTGCTGTGGCCTAACCACTAGTCCACCAGGAAGATAGGCAGTAAATAGGCACATTTTTTTAAAAAAAACCACTGCGCAAAAGGTGTATCAAATCCTTCTACTCCAAAACAGCCAATAAGAGCAAGTTGGCCAGAGACCTGGCTGATAAGCATCACAACTTAGATTTGGCAGGTCAGATGGCTTTCATTGAGAGTCTAGTTCAAGCAAATGATATACTGCTTTTCCTTGGTACTGACTCATGAAGCTTGTAACTTGTGATTACACAAATTTAACCATCTAATTTTTATGCAGCCTAATACACAGCCTGATATATACAAAACACCCTTCCAGTTGGTCAACACTTCACATTAAATGAAACCATGTTTGAATTATTTAGTCACTGTTATGTCTTTTTATGTTATGAAGAGCTTTATATTCAGAAAAATGAGAAAATTGTAATTTAGAGCTAACAATCTGAATTTAGGGTATTCAATGACTGTGTGTGTGTAAACAAATTTTGATTTATTTATTTTTGACTAAAGTAATATTTTTGTATCAAGAATCACGACACTGCACCTGATATTGGTTATAAAGAGTCAAAAATTGTGCCATTGTGACAACCATATTCTCTCTCGCTCTCCCTTAGTATTGGACTTTTAATTAAGGATGAAGTGAGGATGCAGACTGTGTGTGTGTGTGTGTGTGTGTGTATGCATTGCATCTGAATTGTCCCCAGAGATTTCTTCCTTAACAACCTCTCAGAGCTGTAGAGTTCTTCATCAGGGACAAGTATGAGAAGAAGAAGTACTACGACAAAAACGCAGCCACTGACTCTTTTGTAAGTACAGCCTGTTCATCTACGCATCATATTTTGCAAGCTGCAGAAATGTCCTTCAGTGCATTGTTTTGGTCACATCAAAACCTGTATGTCTAGGATGTGCTAGAAAAACTGGAGCTTAGCTTAAATGTTGTTGAATTGTCAGGCACTCTAATCGGTTGGTTAAAAAGAAGAAGGTCCTACATACATATCCCTCAATGGTCACACTGAGCAAAGTGATTTTCCTTCAGCTTTTAGCTTGATTTGGAGGCACATTGTTCCTAATAAAACTAACAAGTAGAGTATTGTCTACGGGAGTACAAAATAAAGATGTAATGACTTAAAGGAGCAGTAGTCGATTTTTTTTTTAATTTCTTACTGGTACAAATGACCTAGACAAAAAGTAAAAAAAAAATGTTTAAGCAATTGCGTAAGAACAAGTGTATTATGTGACTGAGAAAACACATTTGGAAAACTGTATTATGGGCTGGAATGCTCATCCACGTTTACATTAACCTCTTGTCAGTCTTTTTATAGATACTCCCCAACTCCCCTTCACTCCACCCCATCTCAGTCTATTCCAAAAAAAAAAAAAAAGCGTCGTAGAATCTACTAAGTACTAAGTGCCTGTAGATACTTTTACAGTGAGGGAAAATAATAATAATAAATACACAGAGCTAGCAAGGTTGCCAGGTAGGGTAATGCCTCGGATGAACCGCCTTCATAGAAATATATGTAATGCTAGCTAACTCCCTTGCAGCTACCAATGTTAACTAGGTGCCACCACTAGTGACTGTCAGCTGAAAAGCTCATGAGAGCTCATTACAAAGAAAAACAGGACAATGAAGACACTGTTGACCATTCTCAGAGCAGCAAGTTGGTATGAGCTCTCCTGCAAACACCAGAAGACACAGGAGACACAGGAGTTTGATGCCTGCTCTGGCAAAAATACTGCTATACCAAAAGCTCTTGGGTTGTTGTACTTCACTGACTAAACTGGTAGAGACCTAATCTTGACTAATTTTGGCCAATCTTGAGTATTGCTCCTTCAATGTAACTGGTGGTTTATTCCAAAATGCAGTATATTCATTCCAAAATTTGGAATTTTAACTATTGGGCATCGTGGACAATTATGTTAAAGCATCTGGTGTAATAAAATGGAAAAATAGACATCATTTAAAATAATCAGTTTTATAGGAAACGGATTATTTTTTACTATTTTTACAGAATAATCAACAGTAGCAGTGTTGTTAAAATATTAAACAAACAAAAAAGGTGCCATTAGTGCATAGGTTATGAAGTCTTTATAGCTCACTGAACTCCTCTTAAGAACAGGAAACAGTGGAAAGATGAGGTCCATGGCTACATTCAGTAGTTCATGCATCCTTGGTCTGCACCAGGAACAAACATTAGCTGCCCCTTGGTAGAAGAGTTTTAAAGAGAGTAAATTGAGAGAGGAAAAAATTTTACTTGCGTGTTCCTCAGTAGGACTGAAGTGCCGCCTTTAGTCAGTGTGATTCCAAGCCTCATGCACCTACGCTGCGGCATCTTTTATATGCAAATTAATTGTTTAGAACAACTCGTTATCAGTTAAAGGTGCTTTACACTGTGGTTGATATGGGGGAAAAAGAGAGAGAGAGCGCGTGAGAGAGAGAACTAGGAAGGATGAAAAGCAGAACGTAAGTGATGGGGCTGCATCTGTTCAAAATGGAAGATAATTGACACTAAACATCTGTGGGCTTTCTCATTTGAAACGCTGTTGAAGTGTTTGACACTCGCAAGTGACATTTTCATTTTCGTCGTTTTAAATGACTCTTATGGCTTTGTATTCCTGGAGATTGATTGTGTTTAATATTCGATGTTGTTTGTTATTTTTGTTTATAATGTTTAAAAAAAAAAACTGGCTATGAGAATATTTTTTAAAAAGACCTGGAAACTCTTTTGAGTTGCATCATTCACTTATTAGCAATTATTATTACAAACGACTTGGGCTGCTGAGTGGTGCAACAGAAAAGCGCTCGAATCCCAACAATGCCGCAGCTATTTGTGGCCGGGAGCCAAGACAGCAAAATTGACTGTGCTCTCTGAGTGGGATGGATGGCATTTTCTCTCTCTCTCTCTCTCTCTTTCCTGTCAATCAATCAGTGTGACACTAGCTAATCGTGGGTGTCTGTGAACTCGTATGCAGAAGAAAGCAGTTAGCGTTTTCCTCAGAGTGATATGCTGCCCTGTGACGCAGCATGAGCATCAGTTTGAAAAGATGCGGCTGGCTGGCTTCAAGTGTTTTGGAGGAAGCACGTGTTAACCTTCCTTTACCCGGTTGGTAGTTGTTGTATGATGCAGACAGCTGGCTGGTGGGCGGAACTTGGCAGGTGACCAAAATTGGGAAATGTGGAGAAAAAATCTGTCTTATTTATGCTTTATGAATTGTTATGGGGATTTAGAAGTGTAAATTGTTTGAACAGTTTTGATCTTTGTTGGATAGTACAAAGTCTGTATGTAGGACCTTGCTGTTGGTGATGGTTTATACTTTATCTTGTGTGAATTCAGTCAGCCACATCAGTCTGTGTCTGTGTATCAGTCTTAAACCTCTTTCCACATGCTCATTACCAAACTTGAGCTTCAGAGCCTGTTTGGTAAAGAATAGCCTATACCAAATGGCTTCTGATCGTTAGTTCTTGGCACCCCAAGCTCTCCCTTAGCTCTCCCCATCATGTTGCCTTGCTGATGTGATTACGACAAGAAAACCAGGCGTGAAATGTCTTTTGGGGGGCAGAAAAACAAACCCCTGCTCAGTGTTATGTTCTCACACAAGATGGAGCGCAGACATGCAGCACTGCCAGGAGCTCTTACTTTACTGTACCAGTCTCTGCTCTTTCAACTCCATTTCAGCCTACTCCATCCTCCGGTAGGCCAGCATCAATAGGAGAAAATTTGTTGATTTTTGCAGAGGAATAAATAGCATCTTATATTAAAAGCCACTGCAATGATGTCATGTTGTCGCCATTCTGGTTCGCTGCCATTTAAATGATTGTGTGTACAGTCAGCGAGCAAAGCCTCAGAAAACAAATTGTACCAGGATATTACCCATCAGCCCCTTGCTCGTTTTCATAACATGGCTTTTACCTTTTATCTTTTGCTTCCTTTTGTAGTTGGTATTTTTTTCATTACTTTGATCAAATTGAACATTACAAAATGAGTCTCAGGAGGTTATTTTTTGTACTGATATGAAGCCTTTGTTAATCTAGCTTGAGTGTTACATAACAGGAGTTTAAAAAGAAGCTGACAGACCTTGTGAAAGAAACATCTGCAGTCCTCATACATGGCTGGGGAATTACTGTTGACTTTAAAAATATATAGAGAAAAATGATTAAAAATTGATTTCTATAACCAAGATAAAGACTTCATGCGGTATTGGGTTTTGCTAGAGATTGCTTTATGTGTGAGATCTGAACACATGTAATAAGATTATAGATTTGCTCTTCACTCTTCTATTCTTCACTTAGTAATTGGCTTTCTTACTGATGGACTGGCCGGTGGCTCCTCTGACCCTGTCATCATCTGGTTCCTATCCAGCCATCCAGCATTGACTTGCTGCATTGTCTAGCATTGATGTGTACGCTCTCTATTACTCGCCCTAGCAGAGAGCCAGGCACCTCTGGCCCCTGGCGGCCGTGCTCAGCTCCTCTCAGAAAATGGGGGCCCAATTATGTGAGGCCTTTTGCTGCTTCCCAGATTGCATTAAGATCGAGATGGTGATATGCTTCGCCCTCGGCGCTTCTCCGATGATAGCTGTCCCTGCATATTGACTGGTCTGCCTCCATCTTCTCTAGTGGGCACTTTGCTGCTTATTTCCCTGGATAGAGGCATTACTGAAAGGTGTAGTGGAAAGGGGAGAAGTTTTGCAGCATATCTGTTATCGGATCTTTACTGCAGCAGCGTAGCATAGTGCTGATGCTAACCCAATAAAGGTGGATTATGAGCAGGATCCATCAGCAGGTAATGGCCCAGTCTGGACAGCTACACACTAACCAGGATCATAATCGACCTGCTTGTTTTACTCCGTCCCTGTGGACCCGTGCTGCTGACAGCGCCACTTCGCTGTTGAAACGAAGAACAAGAATGGGTCATCTTTCTTTCTGTTCCTCAGTTCCCCTGTGGAATTTGTTTCTTCTTACCTTCTTTTCTCATTTTTTGCCTTTCTTGTCTTCTTTTTTCTCTCTCAGCCTTTTGCAC